TCTAGAAGTATGTTATGATCGACAGTGTCAAATGCAGCACTGAGATCGAGATGTACCAGCACTGATATTTTGCCAGAATCAGAATGTAAGCAAATATCATTAATTATCTTAATGAGCGCTGTCTCTGTGCTGTGATGCGGTCGGAAACCAGATTGAAAATTGTCCAGGTATCCATTTGAGTTTAAGTATTTGTTCAGCTGATTAAAAACTACCTTTTCAATAATCTTGCCTTTAAAAGGAAGATTTGATATTGGTCTATAATTGCTCAAAATGTTGTTATCGAGATTGCTGTTTTTCAGAAGGGGCTTATCAAATGCAGTTTTCAGGAAGTCTGGAAACATCCCAGAAAGAAGTGAGGCATTGACCACTTCTAAGAGATCTGCTTCCAAACAGTTAAGCACCCTTTTGAAAAAAGATGTGGGAAGTGTGTCAAGATGGCAGGTTGACGATTTTAGGTGCTGCACTATTTCTTCCAAAATGTTGCTATCAATTGCTTCAAAAATAGACATAGTATCTTCTTTTTGATATTGCGGTCGAATCTGTCTGACCTCTGCATAACCTGAGGATGTGCTAATCGCCTTTCTGATATTATTGATATTCTCAGAAAAGAAGGAAGCAAACTCATTGCATTTCACTGGGAATCTGACTTGGGGGGTTTGTCAGTCTCTCAACAGTAGCAAAAAGAGTGCGAGTGTTGTTTAAGTTACTGTTTATAAGGTTTGAGTAGAAACTCTGTCTAGCTGTGGCTAGCTCCACATTGAAAGCATGAAGGCTGTCTTTATAGATGCTTTAGTGAATTTCAGTTTCGTCTTCCGCCACATCAGCTCAGCTTTTCTGCATTGTCTTATAACTATAAGACAGTATATATAACTATATACAGTACATTGATTTTACTAGAATATTTAATATAGGAAAAAAACACTATAAACACTTATCTGAACATATTTGGGTGATGAATCAAAAAAAAATGTTGAATCTGTGTTTTAAATTAAGTTTAAACCAGAAAGTATATTAAAACATCTGTCTGAAAACTCTCCCACTCACAAATCGCAAGACAAGGAATTCTGAAAAATTAGCCCAGTCAAATCACTTAATTTAATAGCATTATGAATATATTGTGAATATGCAATATAGTACCCAGTTCAAGCAAATGCAGTTCATTTTCATGTGTTCTTGTTTTGGTTTTTCTTAGAAACTGTTTTGAAGCATTGAGAGTGTCTGGCCTGCATTGCTGGCCCACGTGTGTGTGTGTGTGTGTGTGTGTGTGTGTGTGTGTGTGTGTGTGTGAGCAGAGATTGCTCCCCTGGAACATACGCTGGCCGCCACAGCCAGAGACTGGTCTCAAGGGCGGTGCACAGGTGTTGAAGGTCTGAGCACCATGAGGAGAGCAGAAAGATGAGCAGATGAGTCTGGTGCTTTGGATCCCACACCAGCATTCATATCAATGATGCCACCACCCTCATACAAAATTGATATGAACAGCAGGGTCGACTCCAGTTCAGCCTTAGCCACACAGGAGACTCTGCACTTTCCAGAAAAGCCCTGAGGCGAACGTAACCCCACTTCACACCTCCCTTCACTCGATCTCCGTTTTCTCCTGCTATCGCAGCCTGTGCGGATGTGTCACCTATTTGCTGTCTCCTATTTGTGTGTCAAGTGCCCTTGATCGGGCCTCACTTGCCTCGCTACTATTTTTACCCAACAGAAAACCGCTTATTGACATCGAGCGGCTCTTATTTGCATTGCTCGCGAAAAACCTCACATTAGAAGCAGCTGATGATTTGAGTGGAGCGAGAAAGCTATTACATTCTGAGATGTCAAGAGCGTTTTGTTCTTGGTCCTTACCCTGATCCCTGCTATGTTCATGACATATACAGCTGCTCTCAGAGATAAACATGCTGAAAAGAAAAGATAATAAATACACATGGGTGAAAACGGTAAGAAGCTGTGACTGGAACCAATGCATTGAGTCAAGTGATATTCCATCATATTTGCTCATTTATGGATGTATGGTTAACCTGTTGTGCCATTCACTAAAGGCACACTTGACAGCTGATGTGCATTCTTAAGAATACATTTGTGAATTTCACAGCGTGGGTGGAGAAAACCAGATCATGGCCTTCCTTGTCAGTAAACTGTTCTTTTTGTTTCCATGGGGGAAAAAAACAGTTCAGAAGACAAAACAAAATTTGTGAAGCTTGATTTTTTTTTAAATATGAACTACATTAACAATTAGCATTTTCATCTGAATGTTAGTTGTTGTTGTTGTTGTTGTTGTTGTTTTTTCTGCCTCAGTATGGAAGTGAAGTTGAGAAATAATGGAAATATGCAACACTGTTTCGTGCATGTGGAATATGAATTATTAAATTAAAATCATTATTAAATTTCTTTATTATTGTTGTTGTTGTTGTTATTTTAATTAGTATTATATTTGTATTGTTTTATTTAGTATTTATTTTTATATTTTATTATATACTTTAATTATTTGCATAATTAAAAAAAATGCAAATAATTCTACATATGTTCGTTTAAAAAAAGTAAAATAAATAAAAAATGTAAAATTATCTATAATGGTGGTTGTCAGACAGCAAGACCGCGACCCACTAGGGGGCCTCAGCAAACTTTCAAGGGCCCTCAAGATGATTTTACATTACAAAACAAAATAGGCCAAAGCAACTAAGAAACGAGACATTTATTGTTTCATTTAATTTCAGTTTTCCTACAGTCTTGGAATTCTTTTTTTTTTTGTAAATGAATTAAATAAATGTTTTAATGAATATACATTTTACTTGTTAAAGGTGCAGTAGGAGATCTTGGAAAATGCCAACTTTAGCCTGATAGCACTGAAAGCAAACGTCCCACCCTCCCTGCAAATTGCCGTCCAAAGCCACACCCCCTGAACGCATATACGCACACAGATCAGGCGACCAGAGACAACATTACTACAATACATCATGCATTATTCACCAGTGAGAAAACTTCATAGTACAGTTAGTAAAAGTACTACAATACCAGGAAGGTAGATCAGGTTGTTGATGTTTGTCTGCCATTCTCGCTCTGTCTGCACAGCGTGCGTGAACGCGCTTATGATGTATCCTGTCTGCGCGAACAGGGTGCGCAGAGGTATGCAAATACTTATGTTGACAGGCAGGCAGGAAAGTCAATAAAAACGCTCGGAATGGGCATTTTGATTGGACAAATATTTCTTGGTCCTACGCCTTCCACAGAATATATAAATACAGATAAATACATTTAGACCACTTAAAGGGTTAGTTCACCCAAAAATGAAAATTCATAATTTATTCAACAATTCGTCTCCTATGCATCACCCTGTAGCGCCATTTTGGAGAGTATCAGCTGGACGTAAACAGCTGTTCTGTGTCAGCTGCATCACACGGATACGCTGTTTTCGTTCAGATCAAATCACAACAACATAGGAAACAGATCCGGCGTGGCGCAGCTGACACAGAACAGCATACATTGTTTACGTCCAGCTGATACAGGAGACGAATTGTTGAATAAAGTCTTTTTTTTTCTTTTGCACACAAAAAGTATTCTCGTAGCTTCGTAAAATTACGGTTGAACCCCTGATGTCACATGGATTATTTTACCGATCTCCTTGCTACGTTTCTGGACTTGGGAACATTTCAGTTGTGTTGCTGTCTATGCAGGGTCAGACAGCTCTCAGATTCCATAAAAAATATCTTAATTTGTGTTCCGAAGATGAACGAAGGTCTTACGGGTTTGAAACGACATGAGGGTGAGTAATGAATGACAGAATTTTCATTTTTGGGTGAACTATCCCTTTAACTAATGATCGCTATCGGGATGTGAAGAGACTTTCAACCAGCATAACAAAAAATGTTCTGAAGAAAATCACCTATTGCACCTTTAAACTATAAAATTTGTTCTCAGGTCGAAATTGAGCAAAACATATTTAAAAAAATTCAGTCACACTTTATTTTATGCTCACGTTCTCACTATTTACTACACCTTTTGTCTCAATAAACTCCTAATTTGCTGCTTATTAATAGTAAGGTATTTATTAAGTTTAGGTATGAGGTAGGATTAAGGGATCTAAAATTTATAAGTACAAATAAACAGCCAATATGGTAGTAAAATGAATGCAAGTTAATAGTGAGAATTGGTAAAGTGTTAACAAAAATCCTTATGCTTATCCTTGTCCGGTAAATCGCGAACACCTGGAAAAGTCGTAGAGCCTTTGTATATTGTTGTGGACAACAGGGGGCCTTGATCACGGCTCTATAAGATTGTTTTTGTATTTACACCTCCATCAGCTTATTTGCATCCACTGCTCATGCTAGTAAATTAGCACTCAGCATCTGTTCCTGGAGTGTGCAGACACAGTTGAACAATGGGAGTTCAACCCAGCTGACGCCCTGTCAGAGTGAATGACTAGTGAGGCCTCAGGATCCTTAAATGATCTTGCGCCCTTTGAAAATCTGTCCACATTAGTGGGCTGGCCTCTGAATTGCATGCTAGTAGTTAAGGCCTCAGGTAGGCTCGGGTCTTGGGTCTTAATGATAGGCATAGATGAGGTGTGAGAAAGTGGAATTGATGAGACTCTCCGGCGCTAATCATCGCACAATGAAAAGGACAGCAAAAAGAGCTGCTGGAAATCTTTCAGCATAAAAACTCAACATGAATTGCCATTTGCAAATGATTTTACCTGTATAATATGATCCATTTCCAAGTGAAACAGGACGTTCAATGAGAAAAATGTAGCTTTTCTTCACAACATTTCCATAGGCCATCAGACTGTTCGGGTTTTGAAATATTTCTTATTGAAATGAATCAGGGATGAAGTGTAATACCAATCTGAATCCGCTTTGTAATGATTCGTTGATATTCCACATGACATTTGTACATCCAAAACAAAATCAATTTCAAAGGTTATCATGAAAAATCACTCAAAATCAGCCGTTATCACAACACATTGAGCTGTGTGCACTATCATCTGTCTGTTTGTGTGTCTGTAGGTGGTCTCTGAACGGCACATTGATTAATCTCAGTACTGAATCCCGTCGGCGGCTATCTGGGGGAAATTTGGTCATTAGGAGTCTGGACCGTGCCCAGGATGGAGGAATATACCAGTGCACTGCCTTCAACCCACAGGGAGCAATTCTTAGCAGAAGAGCGAGCCTCCAGTTTGCATGTGAGTCATCGACTGTGCGTTAGCATGCTATATTAGCACTTCAGCCGCTCAATGCAGGGTGACAGGTGTTAGAGTGGATGCTGCCAATATTGGACTAGCTTAAAGAAGAGAGAAAAAGACTTATCAACACCTTAACGCAACTAATGCAAATATAGCTCCTACATGAAACTACAGTGAAAACAAATGGTTGCATTGTTATATTATACCTGTGACTCAAGCACACGTTTAATTTAGTCTTTCCATTGAAATGTAGAAAATATAAGTGAATTTGATTATTTTATTTGATTATTTTTTTAATGATATAATTGAAAATAATGCAGCATTTACTATCAGCCCAAAGTTAGATTTTTGGCTCCTCATAGTAAAACGTTTTGGCACCTCTGATATAGACACTGAAAAATACATAATTAAAGGGATAGTTCACCCAAAAATGACAATTCTGTCATTAATTACTCATCATCATGTCGTTCCAAACCCGTAAGACCTTCATTCATCTTCGGAACACAAATTAAGATATTTTTGATAAAATCCGAGAGCTTTCTGACCCTCCATAGACAGCAAGGGTCCTAACACGATCAAGGTCCAGAAAGGTACCAAGAACATAGGCAAAATACTCCATGTGACATCAGCGGTTCAACCGTAATTTTATGAAGCTAAGAGAATACTTTTTGTTGCGCAAAAAAGCGACTTTATTCAACAATTCTTCTACCTTTCTGGGCCTTGAATGTGGTAGGACCCTATTTTATATTAAATGCGTACAGTATGAACAACTTTTTACAAATCTTTTTGGATTCAAAATATTGAGTTATTAATCAGTTGATTTAATTGCATTTAATTAATGACAATCATTAAATATGTTAAATTCCATAACATGTATTTAACACATTTAATCAATCTGACTCAAAAGCAACCTGTGCATATGTTTGTATATGTACTGTATAGCATATATAGTATTATATTAAACTAAAATTCTCACTGTACATTTACCTGCCACTCAAGGTTTTTTTTGTTGTTGTTGTTTGCTTGTTTTTTGGCCCTTCAAAGTAAAACATTTGGGCACCTCTGGTATAGACACTAAAAACTAACATTATTAACATATTGAATTGTATATGTGTATGAATGACTTTAAAGATGTACTAATGTTTACAAAGATTCATAAAATATTAAGTCTGTCAGTTGATTTTGTTGCGTGTAATTAATGACAATTAAATATTTTAAATTCCATTACATTGATTTAACTCATTTGAAAGAAACATTTACATGACAAAATGATTGTCACTGTACATTTATCTATTATTTAATTTTTTACATTTATTTAATTGTATACATTTATAAAGTGCATTCATAAGTACTTTTATGTTCAGTGCTCTTTCTGTCTGAAAATGCAAATGTCCATATACATTTCAGCATATATCCAAAAATGTGTTGTTTTGATTCAGACTGATTATACAAACTGTTAGAAGTTTCCTGTGCATGCAAAGCATGTTCTTCTGCATTATTTTAAAGGTGGGGTCACTGTGTGCAAAAATGTGATTTCTGTGCTACTGACATTTCCTAATGCAACCACAAAAATAATGTTTTCTGGCATCAGATAGCAAACAGCTAATATTCATTAATGAAAGTAATCAGCAATGACTTTTCATTTCATTAATTAATCTGGTCTCTGTGCTGTGCATGGACAACCTCTGCCAGTCACGTCATTTTACAGCAGTCATTTTAATGGATAAAACATCTGAAAAATAGCAGAGGTCACAGTGTGAGCAGTGCAGGAAAAATGCAAGCCGCCCAAAACATGAGGATGTGCCATGTTACATTAAGTGCTTTAAACAAACTCTTTAAGCATGTATTTTAATTTGGCTTGCCCTGTCAAGTGCTTTGACAGATGTATGTGCTGTTTAATGCATTTTCAGACCAGCAAATAGCTTACATTTGCCATGGTCTTACTATTAAACCATGGTTTTACTGTTAAAATTGGTTTTACTATTAAAACAACTGTGGTTTTACAAATGGTAATCAATATACACCAAAAAACATGGTTACTACACTTTTACTATAATAAAATCTTGGTTAATTTTTGTAAGCATTGTTTTCCCCCCATTGTGGTTTGTGCTACCTGCAGCACGTTTCTATATTTGGTTGTGTTGTAAGTATTTGCAGCACATGTGGGATCAAACTGATGAAGATGTTTTCTTAATTTTCTGGTGCTTTTTCTATTTGTATGTGTTTTCTTAAGTTGTAGCGCATTGAGCTCTCTCGGCAACCATATTCTGGTCCCCACAGACTTCCATAGTATTTTTTTTTTCATATTACACTAATATGTGTAAAACACATACTGTTGTTCCTTGACTGCATCGAGTCGCTTTGGGAACGCCCTTGCGTGACCGCGTTCTGAAGCACGTGTCAAATCAGTCCAATGGAGCAGCGAGACGTCACAAGCGGGGTGACGTAAGCACCAGAAAGTATAAAAGCGCATCCAGCAGAGCGCAAACCAGCTTCTGCTCTTCAGTAGCGCTCTGTGTTTGTGTCTGTCTATTTACTGTTGTCTATCCGCACAAGCATATATATATATAAAAAAATAAAAAAAACAATCATGAAAAAGTCTATGGCGAGCGAACGGCATTACAAACGCTGTGTTTCTCCCTGCCCACGATATCTGGCGGCGGGTGATACACACGATTTGTGTGTCGTTTGTTTAGGAGCGGAGCATGCACGGTCAGCTTTCGAGCAGCTGATTGTCATCACTGCGAGTTACTCTCGCTGCGTATGCACTGCTCTCGCCTGGCTGTATTTGATGAGAGCAGCCAGGCTCATGATCCCGCTGGCAGCGGTCCCGCTGTGGTTTGCTGGTTTCTCCACCCCTAGAGAGAGAGAGCCAGACGCTTTATCTATCTTCCTCGCGTATGAGGTATGATTCGTGATTATGGGGTGTGTTTCGTGCATTCGCCAAAAATAAAATATCGTTTGGCCAGCCTAGAAACAGGACGCTCGTCCTAAAAATAATTAGACGAGCATGTTCTGAATCCAGATCACAGCCTTCACGACGGGGGCCTTCCGTTTTTCCCGATCTCCATGCTGAGTTGTCAAGATCGTGGGAGAAACCGTACTCGTACTCGTAATAATCCCGTAATACAGCCCCACAGTCTCGAATTATTCAAAAGAACATCGTGGGGCTGAATGATAAGGGATATGGGACGATGCCAGTGGTGGAGCAGACGCTTGCGAGCTATCAGAATCGTCCCTGAAGGCCCCGAAGCTTCCCACCAGGCCCGTTAGGCTTACATCGAGTCTGGGCACTAGAACATCCGGGGGCTGAATGATAAGGGATATGGGACGATGCCAGTGGTGGAGCAGACGCTTGCGAGCCCTCAGAATCGTCCCTGAAGGCCCCGAAGCTTCCCACCAGGCCCGTTAGGCTTACATCGAGTCTGGTTGGGAAAGCTTATACGGCGGTAGGTCAGGCTGGCGCATGTTTGCACACCATCGCGGTGTTACAAGCATACCAGGCTGACCTGCTCAGGGGTGGGGCTGCTGAGCG